TACAAAGTCTCCATAATAGGATCTTGCTGCGTATAGCCTTCCTAGTAAGTGCCGAGGGAGGCGGAGTTCGGGCGGCTTGGGGTGAAGAATTATCTCGAGGTCGGCATATTGCCGAGGGCATTGGGACAGCCATTTTCTGGCAAAGGCTTAGAAGGCAGCTGCTTTAGCTTGCCTTTCTAGGTGCGCTAATGAGGGCTGTGGTTGTGATTTTGGGATTAGTTTGCAGGCTTCCTTGGCTAGAGCATCCGCTTCTTCATTTCCTGGTACTCCCGTGTGCCCAGGGCACTACCAAACATAAACCCTGCCGGGGGTTGTCCAGCTCTCTCTTTGTCTCCGAGTCCAGGAGGAAGAGAGCCTATTGAAGGCCCTAAACCTAGCCTGGCTACTTCCTGTGCTCTGGGAGTATAGTCTAGCCGCGATTACGAGGTTATCGAGGTAGATATGGACGTTATCTGCTATACGAGCCGTAGGAGCCCGGGTGGCTTCCATTAGGCCGTGATACGCAGCATGTGCCTCCGCGTTATATACCTTAGTTTGGGAGCCGAGTAGTTCGGATCCGTAGAAGATCTGCCGTGTAGCTTAGTACCCTACCCAGCCTGCTCCGGCGGAGGTGCTGCTGCCGTCCGATATCTAGGACCCGTTAGTATAGACAATAATGTCCCGCTTAGAGAAAGTTGCTATCCTGCCTGTAAAGGAGAGGGCCTGTTCTTCTTTGGTCTTATTAGGTTCGTAGCCGACCCTGGCGAGGGCTGTCTGCCAGTCCGCTAGTTGCTCCCAAGGGGGGAGTTCTAATGGATCGATGTATTCAGTATTTTTGCTTACGAGGCTTGCTATTCGTCGTAGCCGTGAGTCTAGTCCTGATTTGTCCCTGAGTCTCGTTCGGAGAGGGTGTCGCTCGTCCAGACGATGGATTCTAGTGGACGCTGTATAGAGCTTCGCGTCCAGTATCACCTCTGCTGGGGGTAGAGCCGCCTCGCGCTATAGGATCGGTACAGGCGTAGTTCTGTATACGGGGACCATCGCTCTAATAGCTTTGGTTTACGTCGTGTCTAGTTAGTGTAGCAGACTACCAACCCCGTTTAAGATAGTACGTCTATTCTTTATCCGGCTCTTGCCGGGCTACTATACTTTAGATATATAGTACTGAGTAAGTAATATACAAGAGGTGATCGCTCGACGAAGTAAGTATATAGGCGCGCCCCAGACAGTGTTCCCTAGTCCCCGTAGTCCATTAACTACTAAGCATGCTTTTGTAGAGAGGTTTCTTATATAACTCTTAAATATGAGTTTACGGTCGAAGTGAACGCCGAGCCAGTATAGAGAAGAGCCTTCTTTGATGGCCTGAACTATATAATGCCTCCCATCCGGTAAACCTACTGTGATTGATAGGTTTCCGTCTTTTCGTCTCTTAGTAAAGTAGATTAGTTCGGACTTATCAAGGTCAAAAGTGATTCCTTCCGTCGCGCCCTATCCTAAGGTTTCTTTCTATTCCTTGGTTAGGATATTATAGTTATTCTCTAGTGATATTAAGCTTGCTAAGACAGCGACGTCATCGGCATAGCCAAAACAAGATCGCTTCCTTTTAAGCAAGCTATACCTAGCTTAAAAAAAGGTTCGATATAAGTATAAACAGAATAGGAGACACGGGTAAGCCTTGTGGTAGTCCGTATTCGAGACAAAGACGTCTCCTACCTCCCTATCAAGTCTTATTCTAGCTCTCCTTCCGGTAACAAAACTTGAGACCTAGCGTACGAGGTTCTCCGGCCATCCTTGTTCGTAGAGGCGTCGGACTAGTCGTCCTGGGAGTACGGCGTCGAAAGCCCCTTTTATATCGAGCGTAAGTATAGAGGTAACCAGGCCTCTTTGCTAGGCGTACTCGATGTCGTAGATAGCCGCTGCGATAAGGTCGCTGTAAGAGCGAAGAGGGAGTGCTCTAAACTGTTGATCGTATAGAATACGATGTTTAACTGCGATCTAGGTAAGTCGTCTAGCGATGAGTCTCTCTAAGCCTTTTCCGAGGACGGCTAAGAGCGCAATTGGCCTATAGGAGCGCGGGAGTATCTTGTCTCTTTTTCCCGGTTTTGCTAGGATTACGAGAGTTGCTTCTTTAAAATAAGTAGGATGCTAACCCTTGCGTATATACCCGCTATAAAGTAAGAGGACAATATCCTTAATAACTAGCTATGCTATTTTCAAAGTAGTCGTAGTGATTCCGTCGGTCCTAGGAGTCGTGTTTCCCGCGGTGAGAACCGAAGACCGTACCTCGTCCTTTGTAACCTACGGGAAAGGAAGCATAGCTTGCCTTTATAAGACTGGGCTTTCTGTTGGTATGTCCTCGGAGATTGCAGCGTTTCTAAGGAGGACGCGGGTAAATAAGTCGCGCTTCTCTTTTGGTTATGAGACAAGCGTGTCTTGGTTATCTATATCTCGGAGTGGCGGGGTCTGAAAGGATCCTATGGCTTTATACTAACCGACCATTTCAAATATATTTTTATTGAGGAGGCTAAGGAATCTTATCTTTCCAAAAGGCATCCTTAGAGCGTTTAAACTCGTAGAGGAAGTCCTGTTTTAAAGCTTCGACCTCCTCTTCTTCCCATTGGCAGTTCACTCCGGCTGCGCGGAGTCTTACTAACATCGCTGCTTACTCGCATAGGCTCGGTATTTACGTATACAGCTCTCGCTCTAGTATGGTCTCCCTGTACCTTTCCCGAGCGTGCGCTTTGTGGAAGCCGTGAGTGCTTTAATAGACAGTCCGTAAGCTATTATGCTAGGAGATCTAAAGACTATGGGTCTTGGATGTTGCTTGCAGTGCGGCGCATGGGTTGTAAGTTGCGTTTAATGATGCCGAGGAAAAGCTCCTCGTCCATCGTATCGAGCCGAAACCTTCCCGGGGTCTAGCTGGGTGAATCGATCAGGGCCAAGGGGACCCGGGTAAGCAGAGATTCGTGGTCTGATATCGTGTATAGTGACGTTTCTATGCTGGTGGAAGCCCCATGGAGGTTACTGGACGCCCAGCATAAATCTAGGGTGTTGCCGCCTTTGTACGTGGGTTCACCTATAGGTGACATTAGGACAAGGCTAGCGGCTTCTGCCCATTCTACTAGGTTTTCAGCGTCCGGGGAACTCGTAGCCTCGGGCTACCACGTCCAATGGTATAAGTTAAAATCCCCCGCAATCAGTACTCGATCCTCAGGTTTGGGTTGCCAGGCCGCTAGGATGTTCCTGAGAGCCTGGCCAGATCGTAGAGAGCTACGAAGGGCGTTATATATGTTAATAATTGTGAGGACCTCCTTCGTTCCTGAGAGGAGTCGTAAGAAGAGCAGGTCTGTGGATGGATCGGGTAGAGGCCGTGTTTATACGCCTCGTACCTTAGTTCCTCTGCGGAGGTAGGTAAGTACCCTAGGACGGTCTTCGGTCTAGTTATTTACTAGGGTGAAAGTCTCAAAACCTGGGTGGTGTCTTGTGAGCCTCCTCTCCTCCGAACGGATAGACGGCTCTTATATTAGGAGTATATCGATCTGGGCTACGTAAGCCAGGTTTAGTACTATTTCGTGGCGGATGCCCGCCTGCCTGTATTCGCTTATATAATTTGTAGGGTTTTAGAGGGCTATATTCTTTTTTTATGTCTTATTTACCGGGGTATAGTCTATCGCTTGTTCTTCTTTATGGGAATGTCGATGCGACTGCTGGGATCATTTCTCTATAATCTTTCTCCCTTAGCTCGGATGGACCGTAGCTGAGCCTTATCCCTCCTCTGGACTACCCCCTTTACCACTTTGGGTTGGATAGGGCAAGTCGCATCGAAGGCGGCGTGAGGCCCGTTACACGACGGGCATTTAAAGGGGCAGTCGCAGCCATCGTGACCCTTAGTGCCGCCGCAGGGTGCCCGGTGTTGATCAGTTGTGTGGGAAGGAGAGCTGCACTTGAGGCATCTCTTCCTTCTGGTGCACGTTCGTTTGCTGTGAAAACCGCCGTAGCGGAGACATTAAGGAGACCTCTTCTCCTTCGGGAACTGCAGGTTTACAAAAACGCTGGCCCCTATCAAACGGAGGCGTCTTGGTAGTTGCCTTATGGCTTCCGCCTTGAACCAGGCTGTCACCATGCCTAGCCTTTCGACTTCGTCCTTCCTAGAGAAGTGTGCTTTTTCAGGCTTGAGTTTCGTCGAGACCTGGATCTCTTCAAGGAGCTCCTTGGTTGTAATTTCCAGCTCAGTATTGGTTACTAGATAATGCCTAGTATAAGGGACGTTTACGATATAGGCTCGGATCTAGGTATCGTATTGCTCGATCGCTTGTTCTTAGAGAAGGGCAGCGATCTATTCTCTATTCTCTAGTAGGACTTTTATACCATCTATTAACGAAGGTAGGAGTGCTAATCCTATCTTGATATAGTCGATCCCTTAAGGGCTTCTCGGGCTTAGGGACTTAGCCTTTCCCGAACGAAGATATATATATCGTAGGCTTTCTCGTTCTGAAGCGGGCTTTTAGGCGATAGACGCGCAAAGATATATAGATCCTTTAAGGCCGCCCGGTTTGTAGCTTATTTTGCGGCTTGTTTAGCTGGCGTTGGTTCATCCTGTCTTCTGGATAGTGGCTAGCTCGCCGCCGCCGCATATGAACGGACTGGGGTCGGCTAGTTCTGGGTTGTGTACGAGGGATGCCCCTGGGAACTCAGGTTAGTCTCGCTAGGCCCTGTGCTAATAGCGTATATAGACCTTACTAGACCACGTTGATGCCGGTTTGAACGCTGTTTCTCCTCCTGAAGCTCTCTCTCCAAGGATTCGATCTTCGTCAAACAGTCTTTCAAAAACTGTTCCCTCTCGGCGTCCCGACGTAGGAAGCGCTCACTTTGGGTGATCACTATGATCACCTTATCGTATGCTCACTTTCCTTATTATCACGTGACTTGTTCTATAGTTCTTCCGTTCCATAAGGAGTCACCTGAGTTCCCGGATTCTCTACGTATATCAGGTAAATAGCCGCCGCAGGCTTGTGGGGCGGGCCCCCTGGCCTTGTTATGCATATTAGGTTATAACATCAGCTCCTCCTCTCAATGGTCTAGTCCTCTAGGCCTATAAGTAGGTCGTTATTTCTTGTTTTTTGGGATCGTCGATCTATCGTTCTTGGAATATGTTTGCTAAAATGTACGCTAGTTCCTCGACTCATCGTCGTTTGAAACTTGCTCTCGAAATAAAGGAGCGTGGATTCGAAATAGAAATGCCTTGTTCGTACTGTCGGTCGTCGGGTCGAAGGTGCAAGATGCTGGAAGGGAAATCTAAGTGTTATGAGTGTACTCGTCGTGGTCGCTCTTGTGATGCAATAGCCAGTGCTATTTGTGATTATAGGTTTCTTGTTCTTTCTCCTTCGATCTGTTTTTAGCTGATCGTGCGTAGTAGATCGTCTCCTCGTAGAGGCCGATCGGTTAGAGCGTGAGGGGGAAGCAGAGGAGCTTCTTCTTCGTAGGCGAGCTGAGGCTTTGCGTCGAGCGCAAGCTGAGATGGACGAATCTTTGTAGAAGTTAGATCGTCTTCGTAAGGCGAAAAGGATGGTTTTTAAGAAGGGCAAGGCGATCCCTGATCTGCCTGAAGGTAATGGTCCTTCCGAAGAGTCTGTTGCGGCTAGGGAGGCTCAGTCTAGTGGTGCGTTTGGTGTGATTGATTGGGATGCGGTGTTATTGGGGAATTCCGGATTTGACTTTGATTTCGGTACTCCTGGAGTAGTTCCCGAGAGTTCTGGAGGTTCGTAATAGGTTCCCATATATTTTCCTCATATCTATAGTTTTTCTATTTGATCAGGAATTCTCGTGTTTCGTTCCTGACCCTATAGTCGATAATTCGTTCAACTTCATATTCTGGTTAGTTTAGTTCTACGATGATACAGTCTTCTGTATGTGATCCTCTGGGTGCTTGTTCAAGCAATGAGATGTGAAAGACAGGGTGCCATCGCATCGTGTCCGGTAGTCTTAATTCGTAATTGACTAGTGAGACTTTCTTAATGATCTCGAAAGGTCCAAGTTTCTTATAGTCTAATTTGTCACTTGGTCGTTTCGTTTTAATGTTACGTCGAAGGAGATAGGCACTATCCCCCTCTTCTAAGGTTGGTCCTCCAATCCTTGATCTATCAGCGTTTTTCTTTATATACTGCCGTACAAATTCGAGGTCCTGAGAAGCCTTCTTCTAGAGCTCTCTGAGTTTTATCACGTCGGCCACGGCTTTCACGGCCTATAGTCCCTATCGTGCTTCTCCGTACGCTACTAGCTGGAATCCATAGTTAAGATAGAACGGGGATTCTCTCGTACTCTCGCCAACTACGCTATTATATACGAATTAGGCCATTGGTAGTAGCGATACCTAATTATTCTAGTCGTAGTTCATATAACAACGAAGGTATGTTTCGAGGATTTGATTAATCCTTTCTTTCTGTCCGTCAGTCTACGGGTAGAAAGAGGTTGACAGCTTATAGTCTACACCGAGTTACGAGATTAGGGATCTCTAAAACTTAGCGGTGAATAGCTTATCTCTATTAGAGATAATTTCCTTGGGTAGACCGTAGTTAGCAACAATAATCTTGAGGAAGGTATAACGTACATGATAAGCGAGTGGGCCAGACAAGCGAGTGGGCCACCCAACCGCCATCGTGCCACCTACATCATCACAACACGCATTTCTCCATCGAAAACAATGACAGTACAGAACAAAGATACCCAATTAAACTTAGCGGTTCAGGCTACCCAGAAAGACCGAAATCTCAGTATTCGGGCCGCGGTAAAGATCTATAATATCAGTCGCGTTACCTTAGGCCGTAGATTAGAGGGAACGTTATTACGACGTGATAGTATACCCAACTTACGGAATTTGACGCTGCTAGAAGAGAAGAAGCTGATTGAGTATATCCTCGACCTGGACGCCAGATGTTTTCCTCCCCGTCTTTGCGGTGTTGAAGAAATGGCGAATCAATTGCTCGCTGATCGTGATGCGCCCCATGTTGGGAAGCGATGGGCTTCGAACTTCGTAAAGCGACAACCAGAGTTGCGAACGCGTCGTTTTCGTAAGTACGACTACAAGAGGGCCCAATGCGAAGATTCGGGCGCGATTAACGCGTGGTTCTTGCTTGTGTCGAACACAATCGCGAAGTACGGCATCGTAGACTCAGACATCTACAACTTTGACGAGACTGGCTTTATGATGGGCCAGATCTTAACCGGCATGGTCGTGACCAGTGCCGAAAGGCGTTCAAACACGAAAATGATGCAGCCTGGCAATCGTGAATAGGTTACGGTCATTCAGGCCATCAGCCCGTCGGGCTATAGCGTTCTGCTATATATCATCGTTGCAGGCCAATATCACCTCTCCACCTGGTACACGGAATCCGGTCTCCTACACGACTAGGTCATCGTAACGTCTGAAAATGGATGGACAACAAATGAAAGAGGTCCAGACTGGGCTCGGCACTTCGAACGGCATACAAGACCGCGTGCAAAGGGTCAATACCGCCTCCTCGTCGTCGACGGATACGAAAGTCATTACTCCGCGGATTTCGAGATTTTTTGTAAGAAGAACAACATGCCACCCTGTATATGCCGGCTTATTCGTCTTATCTACTCCAGCCCTTGGATGTTGGATGTTTTAGGCCTTTAAAAACGGCGTACGGTTAAGAAACCAAGGATAAGATGCGTCGGGGTAATATGTATATTACTAAGGAGGACTTCTTCCCGGCGTTTCACAGGGCTTTTATATAAGCGATTATGGAGAAAAACATCTAGGGAGGATTTCGAGGGGCAGGAATTGTGCCTTTGAGTGTAGAGAGTATGCTCTCAAAGCTTGATGTGAAGTTACGTACTCCGACACCTCCAGGATCCTTCCCGATAATACTACCGGTATGGACTTCTCAGACACTAAACAACCCAACGGAAGCATCTTCTTAATTAGAACTTATTAAATATCGAATCTACCGTTATTAAAATAGCTTATCAACTTTAATTATCGAAGCTATAGAGTATCTATCCAAGGGGGCTCATAGATTCATGTACTAGATCGCCTTATTAAGATCCGAGAACTAGATCCTTCGAGAGGAGAATAACCTATTTAGTCGACGCCGGAGAGCTAAGAAAAACCGTCTCCGATAAGGAGGAAGCCTTACTATAGCTGAGGGAGAGGACCTTTAGTCGTAGAGAGAGGCTATAGCCTAGGTAGAGGAGGAAACGCGCCGGAGTAGTGGTCGCCGACCGAGGACTGAGACGGGCCAACGACGATATAGCGTCTGCAGGAACACTGGTCATAATGCGCGAATATGTCGATTCAATGAGGAAATTTCTGAGGAAGAGGACTCTGAATAGTTTAGATTGAATCCATGAGGTGGGTGTTGATATTTGCTCCTTCATGTCATGTGGTCGTGGTTGGGTGGCCCACTCGCTTGTCTGGCCCACTCGCTTATCATGTACGTTATTCCTTATGCATATCTATATTCGGGGAGAATATGAGGATGTCGTCGATGTAGACAATAACGAAGATGTCTACATATTCTCTAAGGACATGGTTTGCCATTATCTAGAACATGGCGGGTGTATTGGTGAGTCCAAAGGGCATGACGAGGTACTTGAAGAGTCCTCTGCGGGTTCGGAATGCTATTTTCTATTCGTCTCCTTCCTTGATTCGAATCTAGTTGAATACTTCCTTAAGATTTATCTTAGTAAACTATTAGGCTCCGTATAATAGATCTTTAAGCTCTGTAATGAGGGGTAGGGGGTAATAATTCTTTTTAGTAATTACGTTAAGTCCTCTATAGTCGATTATAGGTCTTAGTTTTTTCTTCCCCTTCTTCAGGACGAAAAAGAGTGGTGCTCTAGCGGGTAATAATGAGGGTCTAATGTGCCCTTTTGCGAGCTTTTCGTCGATATATTCGTTAAGCTCTTCCTACTCTTGTTGGTTCATAGGGTACAGTAGGTAGAACTTTGGTTACATTCCTTCTTTGAGTTCGATCTCTATATCCTAGCTACTATGTTCTAGCAGTCCTGTTCCTTCTTCAGAAACGAATAGTTTACTATACTTCCGGTACTCCTTAGGTATAGTCTGGAGTGGGTTCGATCCCTGATCGTCCGTGCCGGGTACTAACGACCTAGTAGGCTCTACGTGTCTGACGTAGGCAATGTATTTCGTCTATTCATCAGGTGTTACGTAAGACTCGTTTGAACCCTGTTTCTTAGGTCGTTCAGTGACTGAATCTGTCCATTGGATATGGCCATTCACCCAATCTATCCGTGGATTGTGCTTTCGTAACCACGAGATTCCTAAGATAACATCGATGTCTCCGATCTCCGTGATGTCGTACTGGAGTTGTTCTAGATAATTGTTAACGTGTATCGTGAGGTATACGGTCTCGCGAGTGACAAGTCCTTCGTCATACCCAACTCTTTCTCCTTCTATATTCTATAGGGTATAAGGTTCTTCCTTCTGTACCCATAGAAGGTCTAACTTATTCACTATCTTTAGTAATATGAAGGTTCGTTAAGCGCCGCTATCGATAATCGCGCGCATATCGTATCCGAGTCTCACTCTTAGATGTTCGTCGTTAAGACATGTTATTAAGCATGGGCGCTTATCCTTGCTCTCCGCCTTTCGGTGTCTCTTGTCGATTGGCATTTCTAGTTTTTTATCATTCTATTCCTCAGTCTGACGTCTTGTTCGATTCGTTCTTGGTATTCTCTCCAGGCCTTTGCCTTAGGTAAGTAGTGGATCTAGTACTGGTCGTGTCTGTAGTCGTCCCATTCTACGTATTCGCTGTTTAAGTATTATATAGGAAAGTTTGGATCAGGTCCAAAGGTTGCCCAATTGTTATCTTCGAAGGATAGTAGTGTCCAGCTCGTGAGTTGGTCATCTACGTAGACATCCTTGATTGGCTTGTCGTTGATTCTTCGTAGGTAGAATCGAGAGTCTCTTTTGGGTGAGAGGTGCCAAAGGCACCTGTCGTCCAGGCATTCTACCCAGAAGAGTTCCTTATGAAAGGGGTCCTTAGGGTCGAGTAGGGGGTGATCCTTAGGCGTGTAAGGCGTTACCGGGTTCTTCTTGCGGTCAGAAGTCCCATAAAGTTCGACCGTCTGATCGTCGTTGTATGGGTGAATGTGGTTGCACCGAGATTCGTCGAGGTCCTCTTTAGAACTGGTGTCGTTAACGCTAGGCGGTGCCTTGTGATCGATCTCCGTCTGAGCACGTCGTCGAGCGACGTCGCGAGGTTCGTCCGAGTCGTAGGGTGAATTTTCACCTTCGTCGAATAGGTGTGAGCTAGAACCGAAGGCTGGTTCTAGTCTGTTTATTCGGAAGTCGTTTCTTCCGTTCTCGTCCATTCCGAAATCGAGGTTCTTTCCCTTGATGATTTCGATTCTTTGTTCGCGGTCGAGGTCTTCGAGCTGCTCGAGGACCTTGCGTTGGAACTTGTTGTTCGGGTTTGTCGCATTATGCAGATGGACTTAGTGGGAATTCGTATTTCCCTGGCTGGGATCTCTTCTTCCAGTTGAAGTAGGGATTTCTTGTCCTTCGCAGTTATTCTTTTCTAGAGTCTTCCTCCGACTGCTGCGAGTGTTTGAGCTCG